CCTTTCCTCATTCTACTAGTTCTGTTGATGTATCTGTCTGCACTGTACAGAAAATGATGGGACCCTTCCACACTGTAACATAATAAAACAAGGAAAATCATTGGCTACAGTTGATCTTTGATTATACGTTTAGTGTTTGTAATAGAACAAATCTAGCTGCATTAGTTACAAGTCAACAGTGAAGGTCTTTTCAGCATCTCAGAAGAGCACATTTCATATTTATGATAAAGGCCATGGCCCTCACAAAAACTGAGAAAGACTTTTAGATTTTTCACATTACACTGTTGAAAGTTTTTTTTACTTCTGTGTAATAATTGTCAGATGTGGTGCTTCAAGAATTGGCCTGATATTAGCCCAAAGCAAGTCCAAAAGTCTAAGTGGTAAAGCATTACAGCTGTGATCAGCTGATTTCTAGTGCAATGCCAGGCTCCTGCAGACTGTCAATATAGTTATCTGCCCATACCTCCAATACAGGCATGCACTTACTGAAGTCCAGAAGATCAATGAACTACGGTAGTAGTGGTAGTGGTTAACAGTAATTGTAGATCGTTCATTCACAAAACTCTGTAAATGAATAATGCACCAGTATGGGCAGAGCCCCACACGGTCACACTGTTTTCAAATTGTGACAGCGGGTGTGGGGAGAAAGTCCCCTGCTCACTGTCACAGAGAAGGGGTGATGAGGGATTGAGGTGGGGGGATGCTGAACATGTTACATGTTATATTCTAAATTTGGGTGTAACATGTTCAGAAAGTTGAACTTTCCTTTACACTTAAAATCAAAAAATGAATATATTGCAGTTTTATTTTCACCTGGTCATTTGGCCGGTGACACCCTTTCTGTTTTAGGATGGTTCCTTTATCCATGAAGGAGCAATGGAGTCACCCTTGGACAGCAGCACTGTATGGAGATGATAATGTTAGATGGACTAGTAGAATTACATGGATTTGTGACAAACAAATTAAAGCCTAACTCTAGCTCAAGCTTTTTTTTGAAGTTTCAGAAATTGTTTTTTTTTTCCTTTTTGGTTTTATATGCAATAATAAAAGCTGACCATTGTAAGCACACCTGTCACTGTCAAATGGTTTGTCTCAATCCTCTAAAGGCCACTGTTGCTGCAAAGCATGGTCTGTTAAAAGAAGTTGGGGGTCAAGGTGCGTTGCCACGGGCAACACTATCTCACCCCCTCCCTCTTACTGGCCTCACCCCCCACCTCCCTCCAAAGATTATTGATACTTTTTTTTTTAACAGAGTTTGATGAAGAAATAATTTTGTATCAAGATGAAATCTGCCTGATCTGTTTCTTCTATATTGCAGTCTACTTGGCTACTTGCATACTGTTTAGCCACTGTACATCATTTGTGGCTATTGTCTAAAAAAAAAATACACTCTATTGTTTGTTTCAAAATAAAACCTGCCTTATGCCTCTCTCTTATATTGTGGCCTTACCAAGCTAGTTACAGAGTGTTCAGCATCTGTACAACATTTGTAGCTATTATCTCCTCTCAATAATATACTCTGTTGTTTATTTCAAGATAAAACCTGCCTCGTCTCTTGCTCCTACATTGTGACTTTACCATGTTGCTTGCATACAGTCATGCCACTGAAAATGTTTGGGGCTATTGCTTCTCTAGTACTACACTCACATTTCTATATCATAAGTTAAAGCCTGCCTCATATTCTCTCTCACACTAAGACCTTACCAAGCTGCTTACAAACTGTCCAGCTACTGTAGAATATTTGTGGCTATTGTCTCTCAAACAGTACACTCTAATTTATATTTCAAGACAAAACCTGCCTTGTATCTTTTTATTTTGCCCCTCTCTATTGTGGCTTAACTAAGCTGCTTACATACTGTACTGTCATCAAAAAGGAGTGCTATCTATGCTGGGTGTGGAATCGCACAGTCAGAGTCCAGTAGTAAAAGAATAAAATCATAACACAGTTTATTGGAAACATTGAAAAAACTTGCAGTGTAAAAAGCAGCTTACGTACAATGTGCTCCAAGCCAACAGGTTCCATCAACATGCACCAGTGGATGACACAGACTTCCGTTCCCATAGGGGTAGGATGTAGTACAGCCAGTGACATCAGGAAGAGAGACGGAAACAGGGCATCCAGAGGCCGCTGGGGTTTCAGAGATGGCATACCTGTGGGCCTGTTTACACCATCTCTGGTACCCCGGCAGCTGCCTGATGCCTTGATTCCTTCCCATTTCCTGGTGTCACCGACTGTACTACATCCTACCCCTCCGAGCACGGGAGATTGTGTAATTCACTGGTGCTGATGGAACCTGTTGGCTTGAAGAGCACGGTACGTAAGCCGCTTTTTACACTGCAAGTTTCTCAATGTTTCCAATAAATTGTGTTATGATTTTATCCTTTTACTACTGTACTCTGACTGTGCAATTCTTCACCCAGAATTGATATGATGACTTTGCAGCTGGTTATCATAGAGTCCATATGAGTTGTTGGAGCAGCCATTACCGTGGTGTCTTTTTATCAAACATTCTTTTGGATACCTGTCTGAGTGCATGGCTTTTTGGTCTTTCATTTTTACATACTGACACTATAGTTTTTATTTCAAGATAAAACCTGCCTTGTCTCTTTCTGTTTGCCACCTATGTAAGCGCTTGCATACTGTCTTGATGCTAACCAATTTCTACCAAACACTTACTTGAAGTCTTTATTTTGAAAATGTTGGGAGTAATTGGGGATACATGGAGAGGAGGGGGTTTGGGGAAGTATGAAGTGAGGTTTTGAAGTGTTTTTGTTCACTCTGTCTTGGATTTATTAAACCTTTAAAAAAGAAGCACAACCAAAGCTTTTATGGCAACACTGCTCATGACCAATTACTACCATATGTAAGCTCACCAAACAGATGTACTGTACAGACTAATCCTATTTATGCTTTCACACAGACTATAAAATGTATTTATTTATGTTACTTTTCCCAATCTAAAACAGATAGATATATACTTTAACAACTCAGTTATTCTATTAAGATCCAACACATTCATGCAAATGTTAAAATGTTAATAAGCAGCTATTAGATATTAGATTAAAGAAGGCTTCTAACAGGCACAGGCATATTGTCATTGTAATACTGAATCTAGCTGCATAGGTGCCTGGTCATTGAAGGTATAATCTGTTAGTTTGGTTCATATTATATGAGATATGCTTCAGGACTAAACCCATACTAGGTTAGTGAGTGGGCTGACCTCTTCTCTGTGTGTATAAGGTGTTTTCCTGGATTCAGTGTGAACTAAGCATAGTGATCATTCCACCATTTGATATTTTTTCTTAGTTGAATCACATTTTTCTGGGATATAAGTCTGTATGACATACTGTACCTGTATAGTGATGGACTTCATTTACACCATAGTTCATGAGAGATCGCATTCTTGAAGTGTGTTTTCATTGCTTGAGCAAAGAGATCCCTATTTGAGATATTTGCGGAAGTGTCTTATATGGACATGACATATGCTTGGACTAGCTCTATCTACATAGCGTGCCCATTGTCCATATTTGCTTGGTTTATATGCATATCTGTATAGATGAAGTGGGCTTTTACTAATGTGGATGTGCCCACTATTATTAGTACGGTAGAGTCATTTTTTGTTATTATAAGGATTGCAAACATGCATATGGTATTATCTTATGTCTGTGTGCACATGCATGTCAGCTGCCCCTTGGCTTTCCACACTTGAGGCAATTCTTTTACTTTCATTGATATGCCACATCCATTTAATAATGACACTTTTTTCTCCCTGCGGGGGCGAAGAGGGCAGGGAGGTTCTTTTAGGTGGTGGGTCATGTGGTGTCTTTTCCCCTTTTTTGGTGTAGGATTGTTTTAGTAGTGAACTGTGGAAATAGATATCATGGGGAAGGCTGGGGAGGTCAGTGAGGAATTGGTGCTTGCTCGTAGTTTATAAACTTACTTTGGGTATAATAAGTAATCATTATTTTCATAAATTTTCTAATACAGTAAATGATTGGGTATACCAAAATTAGTGTCATTTTCCACAGATCTTTTTTATATAGTTCCAATGTTCTTCCAGCACAGCTTTCGGAGAGTTGTATCTCAAAAAGGATACCAAAGAGGTAATTATATTGAACACATTTATATACGGCTGCCTTTTAGTAATATATTTCTTAAAGCTCTGATAAAAGCCAAAAAATAAATACAAAAAAAACAGATTGCCATGTTTTGGTTTATTTTCAGATAATTTCATATGCATTGCTCATGTCTTTTCATTCAATTCTTTAATCTATGGTTCTTACCACCTTCCTTAAGATAAAACATTACACAGTTAAAAAAATATAGATTTGATAGTGATTTTTCAATGCATAGGCTTCATTCATATGGAACATTGATGCCAGTTGTGGAACGAATCTAGCTTATTCCTATAGCAGGAGTGTGAGCATCTGTCCCTCATTGATTATATCTAAACACCAATAGACTTCTGCAGGTTCTGTCAGCCTGTCAATGCTTTGTGCAGGCTAAGTGGCCGCACCTATCTGCAACAACCTGTGAATCCAGGTGCAGGACCATGTTGGATTCTTGCTGCAGCTGTCACTGAAATCTTGTGGGTATGAGTTCTTAGAAACTGCAATTCTATCTTGAAAACAGACTTCACATTTTTATTTTTTAACTCCCAAAAACTGAAAACTTTTTCTGAAAGCTGACTTCAAATCTTTGTTTTTCAGGCTGTAAATGAGAGGGTTTAGTATGGGGACAGCAGCCGTGTTAAATAAGGAGAGCAACTTATTGTACTCTAAACTGTCTGCTGAAATGGGCCTCAAGTACTGGTAGATTAAGGTAGTATAGAGAAGGATGACAACTGTAAGGTGTGAGGAACATGTGTAGAAAGCTTTACGTCTTCCTATGCTGGAATAATCTTTAGTATGGTGGCGATAATAAAAATGTAGGATAGAACAGTTAATAAGAGAGGCCCAGGAGCTATCAGGACTGCCCCTTCAACAATGAACAAAGTCTCCAGAGCAGAAGTATTGCTGCAAGAGAGTTTTATGACTGGCACAAGGTCACAGAAGAAGTGGTTTACTATGTTGGATCTGTAACAGGAAAAATAAGTCACCAAACCAGCATATGGGATAATTTCTACAAATCCAAGAGCCCAACAGACAGAAGCCAGAAGAGTGCAGGTTCTGTGATTCATGATAACTGTGTATCTCAAGGGACTACAGATGGCAACATATCTGTCATAGCCCATGGCAGTAAGTAACAGCAGTTCGTCACTAACAAATCTTCCAAAGAAATAGATTTGGGCTATGCAGCTGAGATATGAAATGTTGTGATTCCCAGTTAGACCTATGAGAAGGATCTTGTGCAGAGAGACAGTTGTAGAGCACATATCGATCATGGATAGATTTACCAAGAAAAAATACATTGGAGTGGGGAGACGGTGATGTAGGCAAACCAGCAGGAGAATGGTTATGTTTCCGCCAATAGTGAAGAGATAAATAAGAAGAACCAGAAGGAAGAGTGGAGCCTTCAGCTCTGGAATGTCTGAGATTCCTTTGATAATGAAAAATGTCACCATGGTCTGATTGCCTTGTTCCATTTGATCCCATTTATCTGACCACTGTCTGTGTGTTTAAAGAAGAAAGCTTGGTTTCTCTTTGTTAATTTAAAGGGAACCTGAAGTAAAGTCAATGTTTCTAAAGTACAATTGTACACAATTACATGCATGCACAGCTTTAATATTGAGGTCTTCTATTACAGTTATCAGAATAAAAGGAGCTTTCTGAGGATGGAAGGTGGTCAAATTTTTCACAGAAGAGAGCATCTGTTTTGAGGAGAACCCTGGGTGCTCAATATAAACACGGGACTGAAAGCTCAACTCTAGGTTGGGCATCTCAACTTATTGGTCCCCTCCCCTCTGTATACTATATATATGTATTGCAGCACTTTATTATTGTTTCATCTGCAAGTTCCAACAAATACCCATTGAGCCTGCCACTGAAGGCCACTTAGTGCAGCTTCATCTGATGGTATGGCAACAATGCTGCACTGTTCCTGAATTAGTAGCACAGTTGCCATTCTCATGTAGGCTGTGCCTACTTGCACAACAGTGAGATGAACAAAATGTTGCGGGGGGTGTAGCGATTCAGCACAAGCTATAGTTTGTCAATTGGCACCTTACCAGACCTAATTCTGCCCTCTCTGGATTGGCAGCACTTCCTCTATTGCTGAAATGCTCCAAATGTGAGCTGCAGTATTTGGGAGGGGGGAAACACAAATGAAGGATGATTTGGCTCAGTCAAAAAGATAAAAGGATAATAATTGGATTTGGGACTTGTTTAGACTGTCATGAAGGAGTCTTTAGCTGTACTTTAAAGAGACACTGACTCTTTTCTCTTTGAGAGCAAACCAATAGTGTTTTTACAGAGGGATTCCCCTCAACCAGCTGATACTCTCACCTTGCCATGGATTTCTCTGTTGGAGCTGGTAAAACTGTCCTGTGCTTCTAAGTATGGAGAAACATGTGACTGAGCAATGGGCTCATCCATCTGCTCACTTTTCTCCTCTTTTTAGCATAATCCTCATCACCCCATGTACATACCTGATTGGCTCCTTATGCTTCCCCTCTTTTCCCAGCCAGACTGCTGCTGCTCAAGCTGATACAGAAAGCCGTTCTCATGTTAAACTCAGGTAAATATGTTTGTTCAGTAAGAAAACAAGCAAGCACTGGCGAGAGTGACTAGCACAAAAGGTGACACACTAACCTTATAATGAAATGAACTCAAAGAAAATGCATTGCATCAATAATAAAAAAACATTAAAATATGATAAGTCAAGTAAAAAACTGAATAAGTGAACATAGACATTAAAGTGCATCAATATGTGATTATGCAACCAAAATATGACAGTATGCAAAGATCATAATATGGGCAAAGAAATTGCATATAGACGTATCCCCTGAAGACGTGCGTGCACATGAAACGCATTGGGTGGGGGCTTACATGCCGCCATTTTCAGTGTCCAGTGGCATTTTATTCTGTTTGTTTCCACGTGATCTGTTTAATGCTTTATACGGCTCAATTTAAAAATAAATACCGCACGATTTACCTTATCCTTTTTACTCCACCACTCCTCACTTCCTTTTCGGACTTATCGTAAGTCTCTTGCCTTGCACATGATAAACGCGGCAAAACAGTGTATCCCTGTTCACTGGCGATCAAAACAGGTTCCCACTGTACGAGAGTGGTTTCTTAGGGTCATCAGGATTGCGGAGATGGAGGAGCTGATTTCAGTGGCAAAAGAACACCCAGAGAGATTCAGGAAGACTTGGGCTTGTTGGAAACACTTTCAAACCACCAGTATTTATCGTCTTTCTATGAATGAATGAGACGAGATCCAAGGACACAAAAAACCTTTAGAGCTCTCACCTCTAGAATTGCTCCATAGACTGAGTCTACCCGGACTATATCTTACATAAAGGTATAATCTACGTTACCATAAATAATGTTCCATGATATGATTGGTTAACAGCCACTATTTATTATTTGACCCCCTCCACCCCTTTTTTTTTTTTCTCCCCTTCCTTCTATGATGCTACTCTTCCCACTTCTTTTCACCTGATGCGCCTTTCTCTTTTCCTTTCCTTCTTTCCTTCACACCTTTTTCTTCTACAAGTAACTATATCTTTTATGAGGGACAGAGTGTCCTTTCACATATAGGTATGATTGTCTTTTACAATAAGAACCCTACATTTCCCGGCTACGGACACAGAAGAACTGCACGCCTTCAGATGATATATTGTACTACGCTTCATAGTCCCATTATTTGAGTAATCCCTACTCATTAGAGCTGCATCCACAATAATTCTCTAGACTACCTATCATAATCAGTACTTTTACTGGTCTAGTTCATTCAACTGCTATACTGTGATATTTTGTCTCAGGGTAATTCACACTTTAAATAAACAACTTATGGCCCGTCTGCGCTACGGGAGATTAAGACAGATGTTTATGCGCGGACTGTGTTCCGTATCCGTATATGACTTGTTATGCCTTTCTTATTTCAAAATAAAAACTTTTTTTGGGAAAAAAAAAAAGAGAGAATATCTCCTAAACGGTACATGTTTAGGATAAATTCATTTTACATACAGGGGATCTTTATTATAAGCTTACCTGTAGGTACAATTAAAAAAACTGAGTTTACTACCATTTTGACATACAATTTTATTTTATAATGAAGACTTTAGATAATAATGATTTGAAAAAAAAGTGATTAAAACATTGTAATATATAAAACAATAAAAAAAGCATTTTGGCTCCAGGTATGATGCTTTTGACACTGTCATATACCTGTACACGCTCTACAAGAACTTTTAAATAAATATATCATTACAAAATATCTGAAAACAGGTGATTTTGTTTAATTGGTGAACTGCTGTATTTAAGAGTACTGTTTTCCAAATTCAGATTTGGTAAAATGCTTTTAATACCTTAAAGGGGGTACAGGTGAGGAGTACATATTGAAACACTTACCTCTGGGTGTGCTCTCCTCCAGCAATGTGAGGTCCAAGCTTCCCACATAAACCCTCTTCTTACAGGTTCACCATCTTCTTGCTCCACCCATTAGGCAGGAACCAATGATGTGACTTCTGCCCAAGGGGTGCTTGAGTTACATAATCTTAACACCAAGCTCAATTTCTAATTTTCTGATGCCAGGACTGTATACTGTGCATGTGCTGCAATCAGTGTAAAAAAAAAAACAAGTAGGTAAATAGAAGAGGTTTTTATTTTTTTTTTTTTTTTGGCATGAGGGAAATGATACATTTTCTTCTACCAAAAAAAAAAAAACCCACCGGCTGGTAATGTTTTGTTTCTAAAGTTTGCTTCCTCTTCACATTGTAAATGTTGTTGTATCTGTGGTAGCCCATCCTTGTATTAAGATTTATCAGTTATCAGTTAGACCTCAGATACAGGCTAAGCAATTTACTCCCTGGGCATCCATATGGATATATATGTGATGCTTAAAGAGTAGCTTAAATCCCCCCCCCCCCCCCCCCCCCCCCCCGAAAAATATGAATTCATAATTTAATAAAAAGGACATGTATCTGGTTCTTCACCAGTCTTTAGGTCCCTGGCACCAGCATGTTTACTCAGAGAAGTCGGCTGTGACTCCTTGTGGCTTCACAGCCAGCTTCCCACTGTGCATGTGCGAGCCGTGCTGTATTTTGTGAATGGTCCTGGTGGTAGAGAAGGGAGGGAGGGAGGAGGCAGAACAAGAGAACTTCCCCTTTTGGGTGAAGTTCCATTTTAAAACCAAAGAAGCTAAGTCCATTGAAAGCATTAATGTCAAGGGAGAGTCTGAGGGCTATCATTCTCCGAAGCCATGCACTGCATACGTACATCTGTTTCATAATCCCCCTGAGCACAAAAGAGGAGAACAAAAGCATTTATATGAAATATACAGTATTCTTTAATTTTTAAGATTTCATCCACTAGCTATCAGTAGTTATATCACATATTGTTTTCTTTGACAAGGGAGAAGGTAAGCACATATCCAACTTAACTTAAAGGAACACCCTCAACTTTTAAATGTAAATGTGTATCAGTGTAGAAAAAATATTAGCAATGCCAGTCCTATAGGTAGCTGATGCAGTAGTGAACTTTATTTGTTTTACATTACTCCTTAGTTCTTACCTACCAGGTATTATCCAGATGTATATAAATGTGCCATGTTTTGTGCTACCCTTGGCAAGACTAAAATCGGGCACCCCCCCGCATCTAAATTTGTTCCACCCCTTGCTGTTTAAGATCCACCCCTTCCTCTTTAGGCTCCACCTCTTCCTATTAGAGCACCACCTCTTATTTTATTCCATTATCGGTGTCAGTAGGAGGAATATTGCCCCATCATTGGTGTCAGTGGAAGAATAGAGCCCCATCACTGGTGTCAGTGGGAGGGAATAGTGCCCCATCACTGGTATCAGTGGGAGAATAGTGCCCCATCACTGGTGTATCAGTGGGAGGAATAGTGCCCCATCATTGGTGTCAGTGGGAGGAATAGTGCCCCATCATTGGTGTCAGTGGGAGGAATAGTGCCCCATCATTGGTGTCAGTGGGTGGAATAGTGCCCCATCATTGGTGTCAGTGGGTGGAATAGTGCCCCATCATTGGTGTCAGTGGGTGGAATAGTGCCCCATCATTGGTGTCAGTGGGTGGAATAGTGCCCCATCATTGGTGTCAGTGGGAGGAATAGTGCCCCATCATTGGTGTTAGTGTTGGAGGAATAGTGCCCTACATCATTGGTGTCAGTGACACCAATGAGGTAGCATTATTCCTCCAACACGAACACTAATGATGGGGCACTATTACTCCCACTGACATCAATGATGCATACATTGCTGTCCCCCGCTCCAGCCTGGGCTCCCTCTCCCATCCCCAGCCAGCATACCTGGCTGCAGCAGCACCATCTGCTCTGCCCAGATCTCGGCCGCACGGCACATACACTTACCTTACCGATCAGCTGTTTCCAGCCTCTCTACTCTTCTTCAACATTTCCGGCTGCTCCCTCACTCTGCTCGGCTCCTCCTCTCTGCTTGTGTGCTTT